AACGATCGATAAAAGTTGGATGGGTGGATAGTTGTTTGGTTGGTTGGTTGGATGGATGAGAAAAGAAAAAGGAAGGGAGATAAACACCATCAATATTAATCGATGACTCTTATTTATTCTTTTTTTGTTTCATTTTTATGCTATACCTACTAACTATCTCAAATTACTCAGAAGACAATTCAATACTTTAACCGAATTTATTCCGCAGTAAAGAAAGATCAAAGTGAGGAAAGGGTTAAAGTTCATGTCGTATAAAAAAAAGGGATTGCTAAAAAGATAACAGATTTTTCGTGGGAAACAAAACATATTTTTTTTCCCCTTTGTTGTGCATAAATGTTTGTGTTCTCTTTCACAGTATTCCTCTTGTTCAACTGGTATACAGTATTCGAGTGTTATTTATTTTTTGGTAGCTTTTAGGAAATATCAAAAATGATCATTTTTGATAGGAACAATAGAAATTTGATGATTCGTTGTGATATTATACACACATTGTGGGCAAGGATCCCCTTAAGGGTTGCAGTCTCCCGAGAAAAGAAAAATCCTTATCGTTGGCTGAGACAGGCCCGAAGGTCCTGACTGCCTGGCAGCCTGCGTAGAAGAGGAGGTGGAGTACCTCCTTTCGCGTTTCCATGGGAACCGTCTTTCTCTCTCTTTCCCTCTGATTCCCTCTCGTTCCCTCTCATTCCCTCTCTATCTCACGCGCATCCGTGGGGTAATACGCCTTTCACAGTTAGCGTCGCGACGCTGGTATCGACCGACGTGCTACCCCACCACCCCCACCCCCACCCACATTTCACCAACCATCCCTTTTCCTCTTCTACCTATCCCTCTTTTTCTTCTTCGTTGTACTACGTACTCCACTTGTTACTATAATACTACATACTACTATTCGATTCATACGAAGAAGGAACGTAATAGTGGATTCGCATGCGACTTTAATTCAGAAAATAGAAACTAGCTATTGTACATACCCTTTCTTTCTTTCTCTCTCTCTTTTAATCTCCATTTTTTGTTTTGTTTTTTAATCCTCTCCCTATTTCCATCCCTTTTCTATTTTTTTTTTCATTTTGTCGGTGGTCAGGCACCTTTTTGTTTCTACGCCATTGGCAAAAACCTTGTAATTTAGGGATAGCTCACGAGTTAATTACTATGGTGCACGGTATGGAAGATAATAACGATATCCCTTGATGGGGAAAAAGGGTGTAATAGGTTATAAGGGGAGTGGGAGAGAATGAAATAAGCGTAAAAAGAAACTTAACGCTTGAATGGATAAAAAGGTAGTTATTAATCGATAATTTATCGGAAAGATAATAATTTAAAGAGATCATTTAATATCATTTTATGATTATAATCGATTAAAACGAATGAGAAAGAAACTTTGAATACTGAAGTATTTTAACAATGTAACTTCGTTCACATCGTCCATTAAAACGTATCCTTGCTTATTGAACTCATAATCGCGCTCATGCATTTATGTATGGGTTTATGCTAATTCGAGTTAACATAAAACACTCGACCTTCTCGCGAATGACGTCGTCGTCTTAGTTTCTGTCTCGTAAGACAGAAAAATTATCATCGTCGAGACGGAATAAAGATAAATAAAAGTCTGGTTGTTGATCGAATTTATGTTAATTAAATGAATTAACGCGAATCATCGAACATGTTAGATATTAATGATAAAAGATTTTTATAGGGTTTTTATCTTTCATTGGTAACACGAATGTGACTGACTTAAATGTCGAGGTTGTCGACTTTTGTGAACGGCACAGGGGAGTCATCGATATCCACGATTCGATTCACCCTGATAAATGATCACCAACGCCCATGAGATACACACACACACATATACACACATATATAGTCCTACCCCAACTCTGTAGAATTGACTCTATTCGTGTGCACTCGAGTAAACCTCGTATATCTTATAGTTTCCCATACACATATCTGCACGAACGTTTCATATGTACAACTACACATACGTTGCATACATGTATGTATGTATTATGTGTAAGTGGTTTACATAGCTCGCATACATGGTTGCTCGTCGATCACAAACTCGATCTTTGCTTTCTCCTTCCAGCCCGATATCGTGACTCAGAACTCGACTCGATCTGATTATGGTCGAGTTTACATCCTGGATCACGAATAAACGGATCACGCAGACTCTCTTTGGGGGATTCGCTTCGTAAAAAGGGGGCAGAGGGGGTGGGTGGGTACGTGCGTGTGAACAATGTCCAAATCTATACGCGAATTGTGCTCCTTTAAACGAGATTATCATCATCTGATTTATCTGATTTACATTCGTGTCAGAAAAATACGACAATCGAATTTCTGATTCCCCCTTTCGTAATGGTGGAAGAAAGAAACTGTTCAGTGTTCAGTTTCACTGTGAAAATGTTCGTTGAATTTTAATTCTCGTATTATAATTATTTTCATTTTGTAATGAATGAATGAAATAAAATAATTCGTATCGGTTTAAAATACTCGTATGATATCATTTAGGAAAGAAAAATATGCGCAAGTAGATTTATTCGAATTTTTAAGTAACCCCGTAAAGGAATATAAATTGAGAAAAAAAGAAAAAGATAAAAGTAATATTGATGGAAAATCGTTTAAACCGAAAAGCAACATCGTTCACCGCGGGCTCTCAATCGCGGTTTATCGAGACACCGAATCGACAAACGCGATTCGAGGAAAAGGGGTGTGGCAGCACGTTATTTCGAGGGTGGACTCTACCGCCTACCGCTGATAAGGCTTGACCTAGATTCGAGCTTACAATCCTCGACGCTCGCAACCCTGAATTCTCTTCCATTCCCCGATACCAGAATATTCATTTTGCATCCTACCTATTTTTCTTATTTCTTACTTACAATTTTCAAAAAGGTATATAAAAATCATCCTAAATTTCATCTCAAATTTGTTCACAACAATTTCTCATTATTAAATGCATTA